AGGGGATCTCGTAGTCGAGCAGTCTCGACTAGAGCTTTCTTTCTTGTTTTATTTTCCTCTACATGGCCAAATTACTCATTCAGCTATCGACGGGACACAGGGTATTTTTCGAAAAGTTAAAAGCCATTCAACTTGGCCGGCAATAAAACGGCAAATGCGAGCGCGAAAAATGTTCAGCGCGCGCACAGAAAATTATTTTATGATGCTTTTAAACTAATTTTGTGGAAAAAACAACGTGCGAAGGCACTCAAAATTTGGGAAAAAAAACAGTTGACGGAACGCGTGGGCACGTAAAAATTTTATTTACCTGCAGCCAAAATTCGTGGGGCCAGCGAGCGTGGCAGTCGAGCGTTAGCCAAGTTAATGCCCACATGCGGTGGGCGTAACAGGTTAGGTTCGCTTGAGCGGTCTCAAGGACTAGCGGACTGCGGATGCTGAACCCACGGCCATTGCCATGACTACTATTTCGAAGTCCTCATAGTTTAGGTCACGAACTAGTCATAAAATTAGGGAACAAAAACAAAAAAATGAAAGGAGAAAAGGCAAAGGTAAAGTTCCTCGAAGGACCCGAAGGACGCAAATTTGTCGCTTCATTTTCCAGACACTTTCGCTTGCCTTGGGGCCGTATCTTGAAAAGGACATCAATCTAAATTACATGCTCGGGCCATTCAATTTAGAATTTTAAGCCGCCTTTGACTTTGTGACTTTGGAGCAATAATAGAAATATTTTCTTATATGCCTCGACGACATTCAGCAGACAAATTGATTTATCCGAGTTGCGTTCCATTGATGGATCTGTGCATGCTCATGCGATTGTCCTTGGGCACAGGAAGTGAGCAATTGCAACACCTTGGCCGGGCCTAAGTAAATTGACATGTTCTGCTCCATAATGAAGCGATCAGTGGCAGACGCAGGCCACATTCTGTGCCAAAGAAACTGAGGCTCTGCCTACGCCTATTCATAAATTTTCGGCCCGGCCTGCTGATTTGTCAGCATTAGAGAATTGGGCAGGATTGACACTGACAGAGGCTGGATTTTTGGTAACTGGCAAATGGATGACAACAAGCAAGGACAACGGCGTGCTATGACGCAGGTAGCGGCAACTCGGCATCCTACTTATTCGCATTGTCTCATCTCTCTGCTCAGCTTCCAGCTTCCAGCTCTAGGCTATTGTTTGGCTCGGTGCGCATTTTGTGTGTGTGTTTGCTTTTGCTTTTTTGCAAGTGACAGGCAGCCCAGCTAGGCCAGCAAATGGCAAGCGTGAACATAATTATGGTCCTCAATCTGTTCTCAGAATTGGCAAGCAACTTCAACTCCAACGCAACAGCCGCACCCTGTGCCGTCCTATAATACTCTATTCGTTGATACGTGGAATTGTGCCTGCTGCTTGGAAGGATTCATATTGCTAGCTGGCCATAAATTAGAGACGAAGCCTCGCTCAAGTTGATAGAGCTGCTGTTCCCGTGGCGCAGAAGAGGAGTCCCCAGCGTGCGAGGCAGGTTGATTCAAGTATCAATGACTCTCGATATATATCTAGTTTATCTGTCTCTCTCATTCAACGTCATATGCTATTTCTGTTCACTTTCACTGATATAAATAGCCTTTCAGTTCCATAACTCATTATCATGCTAAGGTTTGCTTACCTTTTGGCCTCTATTTACCCAACAGTAGTCTGTCCGTGACATATCATGTCTTCGTTTTTTTTTTTTTTTTTTTTTTTTTTAGACGACTCATGCCAACACATTTCCTTGGCAAACAAGAATGTAATTTCCTGTATTATTTATTTACTTTTAAGTAGTCCTACGACACACAGACAGGCACACAATCATAATTCTCCTGCTCGGCTCCCTGGAAAACTGGTGCATCATGCCGTGGAAAATGTCCTGACAGCAGAACTCATTCATAAATCAAGGCAACATCGATTGTTAATTTTCGATACATCCTGAGCATGTTCTTATTTATTTTCATTTTTATACTCTCCGTGCCCTATGAGGGAAACCTCTTAAGTGCTTCTAAGTTACTAAAAAACTGCTTCCTCATGGTTATTTCAGCATGAATGTATTCGGAAATCTGATAGTCCCTGACTGCGAGCTCTGGACAGCTGACGAATACTGCAATGGAGTGGGCTCTAGGCACTTCTTGTGTATCCTGCAGTTGCATTTTTATGACCTTGTTATCTTTAGAAATACTTGAAGTGGGAGTAAAGATTTGTATTAATAAGCAAATTGGGTTAAGGAGGGGAGAATAAATTTTTAAATGGCTTATACTCTATAAAAATCTCAGACTGACTCATTTCGTTTCTATTTAACCATAAAATTTCAGGCCAAAGAATTTTCCATAATTCCCATGGCCAGTAAAACTGAGACTGGGCAAACCGAAATGTAGTTTCGAGAGGTTTCCAAAGAAAAGTTCTTAAAACGTGTTGCAGCAATAAATATCAATTAACTGCGATTTAGATACCAAAGCGAGTCACGGGCTACGCTCGGAATATTCGAAAATCAGGCTAATTGCAGCTAGCCGGTGGTCTGAGCTCCGAGAGAGCCAAAGGAAGTCGTAAAATTGATAAGGACACAAAATGAAAATGCGCTGCAGGAAAACTAAGCGATTAGGGAAAGTGACCAAAGTGGCCAGGTCACGTTCCGAGCGTGCCAGATGACTCACACAGTGCTCTGTGGAATGTGCTGGCCACAGCCTCAGCTCTCTGTAGTTCATTCCGAGTGTTATCAGTTGCCGTCGTCGTCGGCCGTTGATAACCAGCTACAAATTTGATGACGCAAGCGACACAAGTTGCCTCATCCAGGGGAATTTCTTGGTAGTTGCTGCCTCTAATTTGTTGCTCACTTTGTTTGATGCTGTGACGCTGTCGGCTCTTTGAACCTGCCCATATTCGGTTTATCTGCTCGCCTTCTCGACTATGACACACTAGTGTCTCTCTGCCTTATCAACAGCTCGGTGTGGTCCTTATCGCCGCACTTGCTGCCGTCCACCTCCGTCGCCACACAGCATCGATGTGGCCTCTATACATATTTGCATGCGTCTGGCCCCAACAACTAGCTGTTGGCATGCGTTGTTCTTTTGTCTTGAACTCTGAAGCGAGACAGTTTTTTGTTTGTTTAGCCGGAGCGCGACCCTGACCTGCGCCAAGTCTTTGTAGTCTCTGGGTGTTATCTGCATGTGTTACCTAAGCAATATCGCGTCGCAGTCTCTAATCTTTCTTGGTCAAGACTTTAAGGAAATAAGTTGAGTAAATGATGCTCATTGATATAAAAATATGATGCTGTAGTTTGTGGCTGTAGTGTATGGAATATGAATAGCATGACTAAATAGATATCGTATCTATTATATTTTAGTCATATATTAATTAGTCATAATTCAAATATCATAAACAAATATATAAAGACTAATCAAAGTTTTAGCCGCAAGACTTTTTACAATATGGTACGTAATGTAATTATGCAACAAATCGTTTGAGACAATATGTCCAAAGACTTCACTCTCTCAAATCAAATACGTATATTATATCTTGTTCAGAATTTTGTATACCATTTTTGAGTTTTGTTTCTCCACTAATTTTAATATATTTAGATAAAAAAAAATATATATATTTATAAATATATTTAAAAAAAAATAAATAAAAAAAAAAAATGAACTAGCATGGTAAGTAATCAAGAAAAACGTTTATATTAAAAGCATGTTATATATTTAGCATTGAAGATTTTTCCCATCGAATTTTCTATATATTTCTATATTTCCTTAAACCAAGATTGTTTTTATTTATTTATATTTTTATGTATTTATAAATGAATATATAACATAAAGAAATTTAATCAAAACAAATTGCATGAAAGCCATATTCTGAAAGAGTAAATACCATAGATATATGTATATGTATTGATTCATTTTGTCTTCATCAAATTGTTTATAGACCTGCTGACATAGTATAAATTAGATATTGCTTTGATTTTCGTATAGCATGCCAACTTTCATTACTTCATCTAATTTTCTATAACCCTGCAAGCACAGTATAAATTGCATTAGAGAGTCTAGTTATGAAATATCGGCAGCGCAACAGTTTCAATTTTTATGGTCCAATCATAAACACGAACGGAGCCTGATTAAAATTTCATTTCGCACTTTCGACTGGTTGGCTGTGATTGTTCTATTGCCAGTGCCAGTGCCAAAGCCAGCGCCAGTGCGCGAGGCCCGCAAAATGTGGAGCTCGTAAAAAGTGCAGTTCGGAAGCCGCAACGCGTCGTCTGCACTGCAATGCAGCACCAAAAATGTCAGCGGTTCTTCAAGTTTTATGGCATTCGCCGCAAACGGCCATGAGAACGGATCTAAACGGACTGGCCAGGGGCTCTGCGGCCGGGCTGGGCCTGGCTCTAAATTCGGTTAGGGCTATAACGTAAAACTTTTATGGCTGAAGCAGCGCGCGTGGTAGAAACTCAGCAAAGCCAGCGACGGCGACAGCAACAACGACAACGACAACGACAACGACAACGACAACGACAGCGTCTACGTCAACGTCAGCATCGTAAACAAATTTTGCCCGTAATTAATTTTGCATGCAAGTCAGCTAAAGACAGCGAGATGGAAACTGAACCTGCCAGACAGACTATATAGCAGCCACTATATACAAGGTATATATGTACATACATATATATTAGTGGTATATAGTGCGTAGTTGTGATATCGTCAGTTGTCGGCCGTCTGACGTTTGCTGTCAGTTTTGGGAGTTAATAAACGACGCACATGGCAGCTGATTTTGAATGCCGGCTGAACAGTTCGGGCAGCAAATTTTGATATGCCAAATGTGTCGCTAAATGATTCTTCTTTTTGTTGACTGTAGCCCGTCAGGCAGCACCGCCCACCGCCCGCCGCCCGCCGCTCAACTCCCATCGGCACCTACACCCCCAGCGACTCATCACCTGTGCGTGCGTTGCGCATACGCCCCGTGTGTCCCATGCTGACTGGTATTAGCTTAGCGACTTGGCTTCGGTTCGGCTTGGCTCGGTTTTGTATGCAAATTGTCTGTCGATGGGCAACGGTGGGCCGGGGTGGGGGTGGTGCTGGTGTTGACTGCTCTGACTGTTTGCATACGCCCCATGGAAAACTTTGGCTCTACCAGATCGAGAGCTGCGTGCGAGGTTCAAGTTTTAAGTTTGCATTGCATTTATCAGGCAGCTCATTAGTGTGCTTGTTTGCCTTTAACGTTGTTGTTGGTGTTGTTGTTGCTGTTGTTGTCGCTGCTGCTCTAGCATTATTTATTTGACATTTTTAACACTTGGCGTTGACAGTTTGCCGTGCTGTGTGCCTTTTACGCTAGTCATATTACGTACTCAAATTTGCCAAACAAGCGTAAATCAGTTTGCTGCATTGCTGTTGATGTGTTTTGTTATTTTTTCTTTTTTGGCTTATGCTGTTAATTTTTGTTGACTTTACATGTTGGCTGCGCTTGTCTGTGTCCTCTGCCTGTGAATGCCGCACATGCAACAAATTGTCGCAGCTGTCGCAGCTCTGAGCTCAGCAGGAGAAGGTACTAGACGTTGAACAAGATCAACGTGCTGCGAGATCGAGTTTGCTTTGACTCTAACAGCGCTTTGAAACAGGTGAGAAACAAAAAACAAAAATATGATTACACACACACATTTTCCATCACATTAGACACCTCACACATCATCATTGTTGAATTTCATTTTCATTTTCCGTTTTCCGAACTGATAGCGAATGGCATTGATGTTGGATTGAGTGGAGCGGATCTGGGTGGATGACGAATTCAGTATGTATTACGGGGACTCTGCTTACGGTGCATATAGGAGGAGTCGGCGCAAGTTTTCCCTAATAACATATCTGTTGCTGGGACTATGGCTGATACTGGCTCTGGTACAATGGCTGTTGATCACCATGGTGTAAGTCGAATGGGAGCTGCACATTCTCTAGATGACTTTTAGTTTAATATTTATTGTACTTTTCCTCGATTTCAGCTCGGATATGAATGAGACCTTCCGGGTTTACTATTATATTAGCATTGTCGCCTTCCTGCTGGCCATTTTGCTCTTTGCTATATATCTGTTCGTTGAGAAGGCCCGCTGGAAGACGGCACCCGCTGTCATAATAAGCATTCTCATTGTATGTGGCTTAGTCTGATTCTCCATATATCCATATCTTGTTAACTTTTCTGCTTCTGGTACAGGTGGAGCTGCAAATCATTGGCTCATTCACGCTCGTCGCCCACACGCAGTGGATGGACATGCTCATCTACTTCAGCATCTGCCTCGTGCTCATAGTCCTCTTTGTAATAATCGGCGTTTTCTTGCCCCAGAAGGTAAGTGCTTACCGTAGATCAACTCTCGAAAGGAGTGAGGCGAATAGTCATCAATTGCCTTCAGATGGATCTCACGCTTCATGTCGCTCTGCTATTTATTGTGGCGTTCCTCTTTTTGTTGCTCGGAGTCTACTTCCTGTTGCTGCATTTAATAGAGCCTATCATAAGGCCATATGCCTATCTCATCTGGCAGATATCCATTACAATAACCTTGATGTTTGTAAGTAACTCGAATTAACAGAATGTCGAACTGTACTAGAGCTATATCCTTATATCCTTATATCCTTCAGTTTGTTATGTATCACGCACAAACAATTAACGGCAGCCGATTCGCGGAGATGCGACTGCATGATTATTGTCTTGGCTCTCTGATCCTATTCCATGATTTTCTAATTATATACTGGCTAACATTGTATTGGCAGGTCTATGGGTGGGCAGATCCCTTATGTGATATGAGTACTGTTGTATTGGGAAACAACACTAATACCAAATTCCTTGATCTAAGAGGCGAAGACATTACTGGTAAGCCAATTTATTTATCCAGTATATTTGTCCCTTACGTTTCTCTTCGCCTTGTACAGGTGATTTTGTTTATGTACCCCCTAGTAGGCATCAGCATCAAAATCAAAAGAGAGTAAGGAGCGGAACAACTGAGATACCAATAACCCTCGACTTTATGACGGATGATATGAGTACAGTCAAAAACCCTTTTAAAGACAAGTTGCATAATTTGTTTGATCCCGAACCCAATGAAAATCGTGCAGATGATTTTCGAGGAAAAAATAGAGATCAATCAGATCAACAATACGTTCTTGAGCCCGATGAAAGCACAGTGAATCCAGAGGACAAAGATGCTAAGGCTTACTCGAGGAAACCAGGTAAAACATCCAGAGGTAATGATACTTTTAAGGAATGACAAATACTACTAATGTGAGAAAGTAAATAATAAAAAAAAATGTATGAACAATGACCGAACTATTGTATAACTAAAAAAAGTTTTTATTTCTTTTAGTTATTGCCTTGCTTTACAAAAACATCGATAGAGGAGGGCGCTAGTAACTTAACTATCTAGATTTGAAGCTTCTAGCTCTTATGCTTTAGGAGGAATAAGCTATATATAGCTTTTTGGCCTTGGGTGGTCATCATTTATACTGCCCAAAATATAGCAGAATTTGAAACCCATTGAAAATGGGAAATCAATGCAATCTATGTAACAGGCAAAAAAAGGCGTGGCAGACCCCAAAAAGTATATGTATATTCTTGACCAGGGTGACAAGCTGAGTCGATTTAGCCCTCTGTCCGTCTGATACATCTTTGGAGCTAGTGTCACCAAATTTTAAATGTAGATTTATATGTTCTTAATTGAATTTCAGTTTTTATTATATTTCACCTCCACCCCTAATCCAAATACTAGAGACTTGTGCTTTGGCACCATACGATCTTCCTATAATAAATATACCATCCTTCGAGTGTCATATCATTCAGCTTCTGTCATGCAGTCCAATCGCAATTAATTACCTACCTTACGAGCATTTATAATTCTGTGAATCATATGATTATGTTTTCTATTTCGTGAGCAATGAGGATGCATTTTTCCACAAGCTTCATATTATCACTAACCAGAGAACACATAGACCGGACACGTAGTGTAAAGTGTTTTGCACAC